TAGTTATGACAAATTTCATTACATAACTCTCTAAGAGTCATACCTTGTGTGTGTAGTTCGATTGTTGTAAATTGACGTCATGTTACTCGAACCTTCTGTATTTTTCTCATTGCCTTAAATGAGTATTATTACTTCATCTCGTAGTGTGTAGAAAGCTCTAGGCCTTAGTTTGGTGATGTACACACACACACACATATAAGCGACCAAGTGAGGTAAGTTAAGTGAAGTTAAGTCAGAAAAAGTCAAGTTGATGAAAGTGAAGTTAGACTGCGTGATTGTTTGTTTATCCGTAATGTGCGATATTTTAAAGTGAGTTTTACAGTTTAACAGACATATGTAGAATAATTTGTCTTGTCAAAGGGTGTTCTAAAGTAATTGAACCCGGAAACAAGACAATTATTTAAAGTTCTTGATACAACTGTGGTAACCCACGGGGTAACGTAAGTGAATCTATCACAGATTGTGTAGTAACAAACAGAGCACAGAAAAATAATTCATCTTGTCATTTGAAAAATAGAATTATTTAGAGTTACAGCTGTGATATCCTATAGTATAAAGAATATTTGTACAAACGTTTGACTTGTTTTGAATATATTATTTTAAAACAAGTGGACTGTGTGCTATCCGTTTATTGTTCGAATATGACAATTACCTATAAACCTGTTTAGGGAAGGGCGTTAGGCTAGTAATTTTTCCGTTTCGAAGCAAATTAAGTCTGTGTAATCAGTACTTGTTATCGATCCTCAATAATCTCTTGCTTACATATGTAGCCTGTTTATAAGGTTACAGCCAGATATTTCGAAAATGGACGTAAAAGTAACTATGTGTGTAGTCCTAATGTTCATTCAGGTTGTTATATTAAAGACATAAGCCGATAACATTTTGATATATATTTTCAATCATTCCAGAGACCTATTTTATTGTTATCCATAATGAAAACTTTCTGGTCTTTTGAAAAATTATGTCAGAATTCTCATAATAATATTATTATATTTTATAGTAACGGGATGAAAGGTTGAATAACATTAAGAAGAATAAAGCAAACTCCAATATTAATGTCGCAAATGTTTCGGGATATCAGTCTGTCTATTGTTTTCTTTTTCAATTTCAAGTGGTTCCTAGAAAAAAGTCTATCTTTCTTCTTCCCCCCCCCCCTCCAGTGGCTCAGTGGTATGTCTGCGAACTTACAATGCTACAAACCCGGTTTTGATAGCCGTGATGGGATCAGCACAGATATTTCATTGTGTAGCTTTGTGCTTAACTACAAACAAAATTCTTTGTTAATAATCTATTTTACAAGACTTAATGCTTGTACAAATAAATTGGTGCAATTAACTTCATACGTTTGACTACAATTTCCTTGTATAATTGTTGTTCACAAACAATAAACCTTTAACTACACATATCACCATTATAAGCGGCCTAACTATATTTATTTTGGTTTGCCGGAAAGGCGACATGGTTCATCAAAATAACCACTACATCACAACAGGCTGCTGACTACATACCCACACACAGATACCCTTTCACCTATTTCACTATAAAACTGAAAAGCCATATAGTAAATACCCCCTCGTCCAGTCCCGTCTTTCCTGCACTCAACACTAGACAGAAGCACCCAAAAACAACAGTCTTAGCTCCATCATGCACTATACTCCTAACTTTCACCCAGATTCGCCAAATTCACGGAATAACTGCAACCATGAATCAAGACATCCCAACAGAATCCCCGGAAGCCAAGGATAAGTCAACCATGACAGACCATAAACAACTGTAATCACTCAGACCACTCAAACAAAGCCCTACAAGAAGAAAAAAGCCACCCAGGCCCAGCCACTTCCCGAGCCCACCAACATTACCACGGATAACATCCTCCAGCACCTCTGTCCCTTCTTGCCTTTCCTTTGAGAAACTTCCTCTGACTGCCTCCACACCTGTTACTTATTACAATTTCAAATAGACTAAAACTGAGTTAAATTATATTTTAGATTTAGTAGTTAAATAAATGCCAATGTGTATCCAATTTATTCCATTTGCCAACAAGATTGATACACATAGTTTCTTCTTTTAATACAAATATGTTTTAATATACAAACAATAATACAATTTGCAATAACCGTTATTACAAATAATGATCTATGTACAAAATATTTACAAACTTACAAACAATATCGAGTCTTCTTTCTGATCTGGAGCTTCCACGATGTCTTATCGAGGGTTCACAATGAGCAAATTAATTTTGAGTTGATGTAGATACAATTCACTTTACAGGAAGCTAGCTAGCTCTGTAGTCTTCACTGATCACAAGCCGATTATAGGTCGAGTATATTTTTACCGCTGAAGTTATATAATTCTTCGTAAAAGTACTAATGTCCGACGTGAATCCAGTGAAGTTAAATGGTTTGTAGTGTTCGAAATTGATAAGTGTTCCTGGTCGTATATCTGAAGTTTCACAATTAATAAGCGTTAATCACAGTTATAACTCCCGAGGTTATACCGACTGTAGCAAACCAATAATATATATACTGTTTTTTTTTTTTTGGCGCATTGGTTGCGTTGGTTATATTGATAGGCGCGAGGAGAGTTTCTCGAAATTTCAATTTACGCAACAATACTGACGAAACACCAGTGTTTAAGTACACTGTTTAAGTACAGTGTTTAAGTTTAAATGTTGATTTTTACACTCGAGAATTTTCTACAATTTTAGAGAATAGGCGGGAATTTCGCAATACAGATTTAAGAGTATAAGTTATGTACATTTCTAAATATAAATTTAACTTAAACAAATATCAGTATTAAAATATATATATATATATAATAGTAAATCCGTCACACATCTGTCTCGCTAGCCCCCCTGCTGATCGACACCTCTGTCACCACACCACGTTGCTTCACTAGCCAACCAACGACAATGACTCCTACGCTTATCATTCTTCCTTCTTCATGCCGCATCATATGCCACTTCTATGCCGGGCACTGGTCAGGTAGGTTATTCGGTGCCTGGGTAGTGAAAGTGGGGTTTTCCGGGAGTATTCCAGCTTCCCCCACAGCTAAGTCTCTAGGCATTGGATTTTTAGATCCCCTCCGCCATGAAAGACAATAAATCCGATAATGGCCGTTGGTTTTAGAGTATACGATCCCACATATGATACATTTCATAATTTTCCGTGCGCAGCTCCTCACTCCCATCTCGAGCGGGGTGAAGAGAAACAATTGCTTCTGAGCACCCTCGGTTGCTCCCGAGGTTCCCCCCGGGAACATTTAAATTTAAAAACCTGTGATAGAAAAACAAAACAATGGGAGGAAGAGGTCATATTTAACCTGACCCTTCCTGGTTTATCAAGCCCAAAATTCCGATAACGAAGCAGACAAAACAACAACTGTGGTTTGATGTCCCAATCTGTGCTGATGGGCCTTGAACAGCCGAGAGTGCGGAGGTACGACGAATCACAAATTATATTCTCAATTTTATCTTCTTTGAAAAGAAAAGAAAGTAATAAAATCTTTAACTAGAACGTTTACGGAAAGTAGACCTTCCCCTATTTCAAGGTAGGCCTACTTTTTGAAAGTGGTGTGTTTATCGTTTTACTTGTTTTGTGCGTTATTATTTTTTTCTTGTTGTTTATTTGTTTTTATCCTAGTATCTTAGTGTAACAGCTTTTGCACAAAGGAATATTCGTTGCCTTACTCAGTTTGTACGTATATGTAATCAAATAAAAAACAACATTCAAAGAAAACGAAAAATTACAGTATAAGCTGTGTGAACACAATTTAATTAGCTTGATATATCTTCTGCTGAAAGATAATAAATAATACACCCAAAGTATAATTGAGAGATTACCCCAATAAAACTAGTATCTTTAGGACTTTTCAAGCTAATCCGATGTGCATTATTGAAATGTAACATAAATGAAAGGCTGCTAACTTTATCTGTAACAGGTTTTAAGTTATATAATACATTAAATACCACATAACATTTCAGTTTTACTAGTAAATAGTAATATTTGCATACAAAGTCATTAAAACAGAACAATGTTGAATTGCTGTTTTACTGTCTATAAACCTAAGATAAAAATTGAGTTCATTTTATATATAAGCATTTTTTATTACTGTTTACTATGTACACTGTATACAATGTTGTGTTTGTAGATTGTAAGAGTGCATGATTGTGTTCAGGTAATGTTAGCACCTGTAGGTTTTTATTGTAACATAAGTTTATTCCCACATGTACTATATGTGATGTTGGCACCTGAAGATTGTAAGAGTAACATGAATTTGTTCAGACAGAACTTGTATGTAATTGTTAGCATCTGCAGGTACTAAATGTTGCAGGATTTTTTTTTTTCATGTATTCACAGTGTGTCCAGAAAGTCTGGAACCAAAGGAATTTCAGTGAATTTTACAGAAAGTGTTCCACATGCTGTCCTTGTAATTCAAAACAAGTTTGGAGATGGTATTTCCATACTCTTTGAACAGTGTTAAGAATATCCGTGTCATTGTCAATGGTCCACACTGCTGGTCTCTCCAGATTTATCTAGCAGCTTCCCAACAGTACTGTGACTAATGTTTCTCTCTCTGGGTAGTATGTATTCAGTTAGGCAGTAACTCTCTGCTGGAACCAATATCTTCTGCCAAACAGCAGAGTTAACTCGACCTTCTCATGCACTGACAACACCATAATCAGTCACGTATCTGAAAATTAAGAAAATCTGCAAATCACCTATGGTTCCCAACTTTTTGGACACCCTGTCATCCTGTATTGTATGTAATGTTAACACCTGTAGATACTAAGTTTCAGGTGAAGTTTCTCAGATATGTATTGTATGTAATGTTAACATCTGTATATTGTAAGTGTACACAACTATTTATAAAAGTCAGTTATGCTTATGTTTTGAATCTCTGTTGTTGTTGTTTTATCAATTCTTAGAAGAAACATGGATTTATTTCCAAAGAAATAAAAGAAAGAACAAATTTTTATAGTATTTGTGTTTTTATTTTAGACATGGAGAAGACCTGATTGTTACTCCATTTGCACAAGTTTTGCAGAGTTTAAGAAATATACGGAATAATTACATTCGCATCACTAATGTTCCTGCAAATAAGTAAGTGTATTGGGCTTTATAGATCTCTTGTATAAGATAAAGATTAAAGATATTAATGAGAAAATTGATAGTTGACTTTTTATGGTTTGATTTACATCTAATAAGGAAACTTTCATACCTCTTCATATAGGTGTTCTAGATGTGACTCATTTATGCATATATAAAATAAAAATGTCAACACACATATATTAACTTTCTGATAAAATATAGCATGGATGTTCTTTCTAAGCACTGATCTAGCTTGAAGTTTAAAATTTGTTCATTAAAGTAAAATAACCTTCAAGTAAAATGCATTAAAATTGACATAGAAAAACAAAAGATGGATCTGTTCTCATACTGCTAACATAATAAATTATACAGAAATTGTTCTGTAGAGAACTCTAATATGCCTTGAGTTCTGATTGATTTAAAACTGAGGGAGTTATAAATCTTTGTCCGGGGAAGTAGTTTACTTTCAAGCAGTTCTTCGTGTTTGCATGACTGTATTAGTGGACCGGTCTGCTATGCATTAGAGGGCTTCCTCTTAGGATAAGTTATGGTATGTGTTATGCAGTAGCTAGCTCATCTAGTTATCCTCCATCTGTTGATTAACCTTTCATGACCTTGATACGTGACAACAAACTTGTTTATCCTTTGGGGAGGTGCAGCATACAAGATTGAAAAGTTCATCTTGCTTGGAACATACAGTTGGTTTTACTTGCTTTCAGGTTACCAGGAGGATATACAAAAGATGGTAAATTACAGTTTTTGATATCCTTACTAAGTAGATCTGGAGTTAGTTTTATTGTTTTTATATTTACATAAAGACATAGTTAAACAAATGAATTGTGATATTCTAGTTTAGTGAAACTGAATTGACATGAACACAGGTCAGTTTTTTGTTGTTTTTGATAATCATATGTCCGTGTAAATTGAATTCCATTCTATAATTCTGTGTGCTTGTTAAGTCCTTCTTATTCTGGACTCTACAATTTAGAGTTATTAAGTGCATTGTCTGTCCATGTATCTACTTTGCAGGATGTGGATGGATCTTTACCAAATTCGGTATGAAGGTTCATTGGGTCCATGGGGAAATACATACAAATTTTCAGTTTTGCGTTTTGCAGTTTTTATAGGCATTTTTGCATTTTTACCACTACTTCAATTGTTTGATTGCACAGTACAGTGTGATATTTGCATATTATACTTGTATTTGGAAATCTAGCAAAAAATACTTGCTTACTATTCAGATTAATTAATGTTACTGTGAGTTTCTTGATTCCTACAAACAGTAAACAGGCTCAGTCTTGTTTATGTTTCATTGTACTCAAGATTTTGAGTTTAATAGCATCTCCTTTTACATTCTGAATACTTGTATGCACCAGGTTACTGTACTTTACTTAGTGCTCACAAGTAGTCCATGCTTGCAGTTAGTGTTTCACAGTGTTATGTAAGATGTGAAAACTTCTGTATTGTTGTTAAACTTCTCAATATGTTGTAAGTAAATGTTCTTACATAACCCTAAATTTCTTACATAATAAGATATTAGACTATTAAACAACTTTGTGAGATAATAAATATTTTTGTACAAAAAACAAAAAGTGGGGATTTTTTAGTGCCAAGGTAACTTTTATAAAACATTGAATAGCTGAATGTTGCCTATATTCTAATCTTGCATACAGTTATGTACATTTTTGATTATCCTGAAAGAAAATTAGGGCAGTTTAGAGCTGATATAGTACTTAGGGATTATTTTTAAAGTAGTTTCTTTAAGAATAATTAGTTATTTTATCACTTTTAAATTGCTGTTAATTTGGGCAATTTTTCCATTGTTTTGTGAAATTTGACTGATTAAAAATTGTGTTTTAAGTAAGAAGAAGAAGATTTCAAGACTACAGATTAGTTTTATGGAATTTTATGTTTAGTATAAAGTTGTCAAAACATTATTTCCAAAGTTAATCATGCACATTGCACCAGTGAGCTTATTTTATAGGTGTATCTGACTTTCAATTTTTTTCACAAATTCAATCATGTGTGGATCAGTTCTAATATTCCACTTGTTTCTGTTCAAACATACGAAGTTTGCTTAAGGTTAATCATTATTTTTTAGACATTGCTCTCTTTCAGATCAAGAAGATCTTCAGGCACTCTTAGTTCACCTTCAACTTCAAATAAATTGTCTGGTAAGATGAAAACTTGAAGACTAGTTTACATATGTGTAGTTAACAGTAAAAACCTGGAGACTAGTGTAGATACAAGTAGATTAACAGAGAGAATTTGGAGACTAGTGTACATATGTGTAGATTAACAGTGAAAACTGGAAAATAGCGTAGATATAAGTAGATTAACAGTGAAAAACTGGAGACTAGTGTAGATACAAGTATATTAAAAGTGAAAACCTGTAGACTAGTGTAGATACAAGTCGATTAACAGTGAAAACTTGGAGAATAGTGTAGATACAAGAAAATTAACAGAGAGAACCTGGAGACTAGTGTAAATATGTGTAGATTAACAGTGAAACCTGGAGACTAGTGTAGATACAAGTAGATTAACAGTGAAAACCTGTAGACTAGTGTAGATACATATACATTAACAGTGAAAACCTATAGACTAGTGTAGATAGAAGTAGATTAACAGTGGAAACCTGGAGACTAGTATAGGTACAAGTATGTTAACAGTGAAAACCTGAAGACTAGTGTAAGTAGGAGTAGATTAACAGTGAAACCTGGAGACTAGTGTAGATACAAGTGGATTAACAGAGAGAACCTGGAGACTAGTGTAGATATGTGTAGATTAACAGTGAAAACTGGAAACTAGTGTAGATATAAGTAGATTAACACTGAAACTTGGAGACTAGTGTAGATACAAGTATGTTAACAGTGAAAACCTGAAGACTAGTGTAAGTAGGAGTAGATTAACAGTGAAACCTGGAGACTAGTGTAGATATGTGTAGATTAACAGTGAAAACTGGAAACTAGTGTAGATATAAGTAGATTAATAGTGAAAAACTGGAGACTAGTGTAGATAGAAGTATATTAAGAGAGAGAACCTGGAGATGAGTGTAGATACAACTATATTAACAGTGAAAACCTGTAGATCAGTGTAGATACAAGTAGATTAACAGTGAAAATCTGTAGACTAGTGTAGATACAAGTATATTAACAGTGAAAACCTGGAGACTAGTGTAGATATAAGTAGATTAACAGTGAAAACCTGGTGACTAGCGTAGATACAAGTAGATTAACAGTGAAAACCTGGAGACAAGTGTAAATACAAGTAGATTAACAGTGAAAACCTGGAGACTGGTGTAGATACAAGTAAATTAACACTGAAACTTGGAGACTAGTGTAGATACAAGTAGATTAACAGTGAAAACCTGGAGACTAGTGTAGATACAAGTATATTAACAGTGAAACCTGGAGACTAGTGTACATACAAGTATATTAACAGTGAAAACCTGTAGACTAGTGTAGATATAAGTATGTTAACAGTGAAAACCTGGAGACTAGTGTAGATACAAGTAGATTAATAGTGAAAACCTGGAGACTAGTGTAGATACAAGTAGATTAATAGTGAA